GGAAGACAGTGGCATTCTTGGTAAGAAGCTCATATCTTAATGCATATTCTTAAATGCTTGTTACTGATCAAAAGAAAATAAGAAAAAGGAAAAGGAGAAGGGTGAGTTTTCTTGTGGCATTTGTGATATAAGGCTAAGTTGTTGGTTTGCATATGGACTATGTAAGGAAGAATATTTTGATATGTTACATAACAAGTGTGCAATTTTCAAATTTTCTTATTTTACTTGTCCTAAATGAAGAGTTATTTTCAGGTGATAAAATTATGAGCAATGAAGATGAAATAAACAGTGGAGAGGCATTTCTGACTAATGAAAATATTGTCAATTGGTCTTGGGCATAATCTTTTGACTGTGCTCATTAATCTTTTGGCTGGAATCAATGAATGAGAAACTTCTGGATACTTAGAATTTGTTGGCTAACATAATTGGGTTGGCCTTGTATATGCATTTCTGAGCTAATTGGTTGTTTCAGGGGAAACTTTTATCTAGCTATAATCTATCTCATCAATGAGAGTGTGTCGTTTGTGCTTGTACTTATGGCTGAAATGTCAATCTCAGCTTCCTTCTATCGAGGTAATTACAAAATCACCACCTGCAGCTCGTGATCAGAAGCGACCTCCAATACTTGTGCTTGTCATTTGCCCAACCCGGGAGCTTGCAAGTCAAGCTGCTACAGAGGCCAACACATTGTTGAAATACCACCCTTCAATAGGTGTTCAAGTTGTAATAGGTGGTACAAGGCTTGCATTGGAACAGAAAAGAATGCAAGCAAATCCATGCCAGGTATGCACCTCATTTTTGCAGTCTCTCCATGCAACATTAATAATCACAAAGCTCTTGAATTGGGATGGTGCCAGAAGACTGGTTCACCTTTTGTGTTCATTAAATTTAACTTCTATACCCAATAGGAATTTTCTGAATAAATAATGGGGTACCTTCCCATACAAACTTGAATCTTTATAGGGCCAAGCAGAGTGAACAACTACCTGTGTGTAGCATCAATTTGTATGGAATTAAGTAGAACCAAGTTAAATTTCAACCAAAATGCTGCTTTCAGTCTCAACTTTTTGAAGTGACAGTGATCCAAAATTTTGTAGTCTTTGAACTTCATAGAATCCTGAAAGACACATGGCTTAATAACCTTGAAACTCTCAGCCTCCTCTTCCCTGCCCCACATTTTAATTTCTTACTTAACTGATATAGGAGCTCCGTTTTCCTTTCCATGGCCAAGTGTTCCCATCCCCAACTTTTATTAAAAAAAAAGGTGCGGAAAAGTAAGAGTTGCATCAGTGACAACTGTGAGTATTTTGCATCTCATTCAAAAGCAGTTTACTACAGTATGAAGCTTCATTTTAATGGAAGCCCTAGTCTGGAGGCAAACCATCAACTTTCTGTGTAGCTTTGGTTAGCCTTAGTAAAACTTTGATGTATTGGATGCAATTTTTATGCTCAATTTCTTGCAAGACAATACACATTGCAAGCTACTTTTGCTGGTTTGTTTGGTTTGATTGGAAGTGTCTTGTGCTTTTAAATCTCAGATTCTTGTGGCTACACCTGGAAGACTTAGAGATCATATTGAGAATACAGCAGGGTTTGCAACTCGTTTGATGGGTGTTAAAGTGTTGGTGCTTGATGAAGCTGATCATTTGTTAGATATGGGATTTCGTAAAGATATTGAGAGAATCATAGATGCCGTTCCAAAACAGCGCCAGACACTTCTTTTTTCTGCTACCATACCACAGGAGGTCAGGCTATCACTTTATTCTTAATAATAGTGGGGAGCCACAACAAATAGAAAAAGTTAAAAACTTTTTGAAATAATTGCAGGTTCGTCATATATGTCATATTGCTTTAAAAAGAGATCATGAGTTCATCAACACAGTTCAAGAGGGCAGTGAAGAGACACATTCACAAGTAGGCTCTAGCTTACTGACTTATTATTTGTTTATACCTCTATGTACTGTATCAAAAGCTCTGGCAACATTTAATCTTCTGCTGATATACTTCTTCCTATTGAGATTTGTAATGGTCTATATTTCAGGTTAGACAGATGCATATGGTTGCTCCTCTAGACAAGCATTTTACGCTTCTTTATACTCTACTGAAAGAGCATATAGCTGATGATGTTGATTATAAGGTACTGTGTAACTTGCTCATTTCCAGACATGAGATACTCAGCAGAATTCTGAAATCCGGTATTATAGGAAAAGAAGTGGTGAAAGGGAATCTTAGAGGCCACTTTATGTTCATTGCTGGCTCTTTTAGCAGACAAATTTAATAGTCATTTTCCAAAAATTTGCTTCAATTATTTAACATGTGTTGCATGTTATATCTTGGCTTTGGCCCAGCCCCTAATGCTTATTGTTTAAATGGGTGGCTATAGGAGAAATGAAATTATATTACAATTTCATGCTGCTTTACAAAATTTTTTTCCCGTTCAGAATATGGTGGTGGGGAGTGGGTTGCTAGGACTAATATGGAAAGTCAGTGATGACTCTTCATGTTGTTAAGGGGTTCAATTGCTGGGGTACTTGCGTGGCATAATTTGTTTATAACTGCTTGAGCAGTAGGTGCCCACCTGTGCAGAATTTCTTGATCTCATTTTCATGTTGAACACGCGCTAGATGTTGTGCATCGCAGGACAGTCTGCGTACATGTTTTCAAATAAAAAATCATAATTGATGCCTGTACTTGTTATGTGGTACTGATTCTTGTGAAGAAAGATAAGAACTTCGTTTAATCTGTCTCTTCTTAAAAGCTATAGGTGTATAGGGTCTCATTTATAGTACACAAGTAAAGAATAACATAAAAAAGAAATACTTATGGCTTTCTTGTTTATTGGATTCTGTCTGCATCTACCTGGTGGCGCATCTCTGTGTGCGTGTCTGTTTTCGTTTTCTTTTTGGGGGTGATGGGAGGGGGTGTGGAGGGTGATGCGCTGGTGCTTTTTATGCAAGGCAATGTGTTGTGCCTCACCTGGGTTACAGTTCAATGCATTGTGATTATTATTATAGTGTAAGAGTTGCCTTATTGTTGGTTTTTGACAACACAGGTTCTTGTGTTTTGCACAACTGCAATGGTCACAAGACTTGTTGCTGACCTGCTTGCTGAACTTAACTTGAATGTCCGAGAAATTCATTCTAGAAAGCCCCAGAGTTACCGAACCAGGATTTCAGATGAATTTCGAAAATCAAAAGGTCTAATTCTTGTGACATCTGATGTATCTGCACGTGGGGTTGATTATCCAGACGTGACTCTTGTTGTTCAGGTAATAATATTGCTTGACCTTGCATTTAATCAAATTGGAGATGCTTGGATTTTGTTATGGATACAACTTGGAGAACAGTTTCGTGTTTATAGTTTTAAGAATTCAGCAATTTTTTGCAGTCATTTTGATGTTGTTGTCCTTTGCTTTTTCACTTAGAAGTCCTCTCATGAGAGAATGATATATGAAAGGGCCATGCTGGAGGGGAGGAGGGTACTGAATTGAGGTGTTTGGCTTAATAGAAACATCCCGCTGGTGTAGAACAATCAATTGACAAAGGAGTAGTTGAAGCTTTAATAATGACAGTAGTGTCTAAACATTTGTGTTTTGAACTCTCTTTTTAATCTTTTCTTTACCTTCCTACCTTTATGAGGCCAGTTTGGTGCATCCGGAAATCGACGTATTTTAATTGGAGGGATTTTTTTTTTTCTAGATTTTTTTTGATAATGTACACTGGAGACCCGTTTTTTGACTTTCTAGCGAGACTGCTAATTATATGCTTACGAAGACGGTTAATTTGTTTGCAGACCAGCATATCTAAATGCCATTGAATATGCATGAAATGTTTGTTCCTGCAGATTGGTTTGCCAGCTGATAGACAGCAATATATACATCGACTAGGTAGAACTGGGCGCAAAGGCAAAGAAGGTCAAGGCATGTTACTATTGGCCCCTTGGGAGGAATTCTTCTTGTCAACCATTAAAGACTTGCCAACAACGAAGGCAGAGGTACCTTTGGTTGATCCAGACACGAGGAAAAAGGTATGTCTGAGATTTAATGTTTGCCTATTGTACTGAAGCCCATTTATAGGCTTGTATCCTAGCATATTGCACACTTCTATGAAACAAGTATAAGCGGACTGCAACTCAATCATATGCATTTGAGGCCTTCTGTACTATAACCAGACTGTATCCACAGGTGGAACGAGCACTATCCCACGTGGAGATGAAAAACAAGGAAGCTGCGTATCAAGCATGGCTTGGTTATTACAATTCCAACAAGACTGTGGGTAGAGACAAGTACAGGCTTGTTGAGCTCGCCAATGAATTCAGTCGAAGCATGGGATTAGACAATCCTCCGGCAATTCCCAAGCTAGTGCTAGGCAAAATGGGTTTGAGGAATATTCCTGGACTGCGCTCTAAATAGTTGAGGCAGCATTCTTCAAATAGGCAAATTACTTTTTATTTCCATGTGGTTTGAACATAGGGATCCTATAAATCCCTTGGGATTATAAATATGCCTTTTTTTTTTTTTTTGGCTTTCTCTTTGATGATTCTAACCAAAGTAATCCACAACTTATGCCTACCAAAAGTCAACAGTTTCCACAACTCGGCAAATATATTCCTTTTCCATTTCAACTTATTCTGCAAACAATTTTAGCCGAAATTCGTCTCTGTTTGCGGGAAGAATTTTTAGATCGACTTTTTTAACAGAAGAGAGTAATTTGATGGATCCCAGGGCTGCTTCTGCAACTGTGATACAACAAAAACAAATAAACAAGCACGGTTTACCGTCTCCTAGCTCAAACAGCCAAACTCCGTCTAACCAGAACGGAAGAAAATCAACCGTTCCTGACCTTTTCCCTTTTCACGCTGGTTACCATTTCCTTTTATTCATTCATAGACCATAATATGCTGCTGAAAATAAAAAGGGCATTTTATTCCATGCCCTATATTTTCTTTTTTTTTTTTAAGAACATTAGACAGAAGATCCGTTAAAATAGTACGCTGCTATAAGACATAAAAAATAATAGACATTTTTTTTTTTTTTAAAACTTGTCATTGCCATTCAGGTTACTACACTGTTATACATCCAGATGGTGGATGAAACTAGTACAAGCAACTGATCATTAGAACCTAGAAGGATCTATGGGGAACGGTGTCCCATCATTGACAAAACTACTATATATCAGATTAAAAAATTCTAATTTTTTTTTCTTTTTTAACCTCAAAAAAGGCTCTACTTTCATGAAAGTACAGTATGTAACTTCCTAATAGAAGGAAAAGGTGGGGAATAAAATTCCAATGTGAGTCCTACTACTTCCTCCTGCTGTGCTTCCTTATCTTTTGTAGATGGCCGCAGTTAGAATATGACTTGATAGAGATTACATACAGGAACTACTGAGACCTAAAGAGGAGACCAATCAAGAACTAACTTGAAAAGAAAACAACCAATATCAATATGCACCCACCAGATCCTTCACGCATGGTCATGGTGACACTCACTACATTTCCCTGATTTCTGGGATGGCACTTTGCTACGGCTCCACCGTTCTCCTCTACATGGTTCAACAATAGAGGAAAATCTTAATAGTTCCTTCCAAGGCAGCTCCTTTCAGCCTGGCAAGCTATTTAAGTCCTCCTGTTAATAAGATGATATATGTATGTTACAGAATGTAGTGACACACACCTAACCAACAACCCCAAAAAAAGAAAAGAAAAGAAACAAAAAAGAAGCAGAGATCACCAGTGATCGGTCATACGAAATACACGTGAATCCAACCATGCAAAAACAATTGTTATAATGCATGCTCGTTGCAAAAGCTCCACAACGAATTAGCTATCATAAGGGCAAAGGTCAAAGAATGATTGCCTCGTCTCAGAGTAACAAAAAGGGAATAATATATCCAAAGATTCCTAGACCAATGTAACAATCAGGTGAATAATCTACACATTTTTCAGTTAAACAGTCAGCCAACATGAGGCACTTCTCTGGGCTAAAACCATCCTATCAGAGGAATTATTAGATATCATCATAAAGGTTTCAATTTCCCGGAGAATAATTATTATATGAGCATGCCACACCATTTCGATCCACGAAGCAAAAAACATAGTGCACTTGATTTATTACAAGTATTTACATCTGTAAACATGACCACTGTAACCAGAAAACCAGGGACATACAAATCACACAATCCAAATTGAAACTAAATATAACAGTGTTACATATTCTTCAACTCTCAAATCAACCACAAGAATCCCTCGGCTCATAACGAAAACAGAAGTTAGAAAAATTACCTGTGATGATGAGGCGAGGATGGATGATCTGGTGAAGACCTTTGACCAGAGCCTCCACGAAACCTATGATCATCATATGCTCCTCTAGCTCTGGTTCCTTCACTTAAATGTGGTTGTTCATTCATACCAGAAAAGCCTATTGGACCAAGAGACCCAAACTCTAGCTGTTCACCACGCGACCCAAAACTAGCATTATGATCAAAAGGATACAGCATAACCACCGGTGGAACAGCAGGTCCATTTGAAGATACTCCACTAGGATCCATCTGTGGTAACTGATACATGCTGTAAGTCACATTAGCAGGACCATTCTGGCTAGAGTTAGAACGCAAGGGACCATTCTGATAAGAAGACAAGGACTCATGTCTATACGCTGGCCAAGATCGATCTGCCCGGTTGTCACTGGAAGAGAAACGATCCAATCTTGAGTTTGACTTCTCAGTTTGGTTGCGATTGTGACTGCGGCCGGCAGCTCTTGATTTAGAATTCCCATTCCAGTTCCCTTCTCTGTCACCATAGCTATCACTTCTTTCATAGTTGTAATTCCCTCTCCTGCCACCAGAAGAGTGGCGATCCCTCATGGAAACCTTCTGAAGAATAGCAAAGTAGAAAAGTCATGCACACAGTTGATGGGTGAAAAGGGAGTCAGTAATGAAGCAACAAAAATGAACCACCAGCAATAGTAAGACAAAAACTTGACATAACTCCGCCTAGCCAGAAGAAGAGAGGCAATATAGATTTTGCAAATATTAATGAAGAAACCCTTGTTTGACAACAATTTCTAATGAAACTCTACAAGTAAGATGATACTCCTACCATATGTCTAGACAAGTACCATTGAGGCTCCAACACTATCGACTTCTTGCATTCATTACACCAATCAATTTAAGGCTAGCATAACCAATTTCTAAGTACATGCTCACCAAAATACAGCCTCCCTTCTTTTTATATATAATATCATCAACATCATAGTTCAATCGACTACTTATGTGTTAAAGGAAACCAAATTCAGCTAAGACAAAAGTATTAAACATTCAATACAAGATGATATCATAGTAACTGTCACGATGACTCTCTCTTAAAATTCCAAATTAACCAATTGATTTTTCAATAAAACCCTTCCAAATAGGCCCAGCAAATAAGCCATTTTCATGAAGGGAGACGCATAAATGGTCATTGCCTTGAAAGACTAGTATGATCCAACTAAGTGAGGCTACTTGAAGATGCAGAATATATACAGCACATAGACCTAAGTAACCTGTGTCCACAGACACTTCAACAGAAACAAGATTCTGCCACTAAGAAGTCCTAGAAAGACAACCTTGGGTTGATAGTGTAAACCCATACCGCTGTTGCTAGAAAATACCCTGTTTCATGTACTCATATGTTTGCTTCACTATCCATGCATACTAATTAATAAGTAGCCAAATTTTGGAAACAAAAAGGGACAAATAACAACAATAAGCAGCTGAAATCTTTAAAGGAATGATGAAGAACTTGTTCAACAAAAATCCAACTTACAGGGTTTGGCAGATAAGTCCCAGTCCCACTTCGATATCTGGGCATGTCCTCAACATAATGTTGATAGACATTAGGAGGTCTATTTGAAACAGACTGTAAAGGAGAAACTGGAACCAGCCGAGGACCATAACCCATCAACTGAGTGAAGAGGTTGGCCGAAAGAGGTCTCCCAGGACCATCCCAAGGGAAACGACCTTGAAGATACATAGGTGGCACCATCACTGGAGAGGGATAAATAAGAGGCCCAGGGTACCTAGGATTTTGGCAGAACCTACCATATTGCAGATTCTGCCAATGGCTGGCAAAGTCACTGTTGAGTATATCAGGCTTGTGCTCATCAGATGTCTCGATGGCAGTAGGCACTCTGAAGGAAGTAGAAGAATTTACATCTTCAGACTGATCAAGACCCTCAATTGTGTCAAAATGCTGCACAGAATCATTGTTCTCCAAGACCCCCTCTCCTCCAAAATGGCTTGTCGATGTATCAGAAGCTCCAGTTTCAGGAGGGATATTGTATACTGGAAGCATAGTTAGAAAAGGAACTGGAGGTCCCGTGGGATAAAATGCAATTACACCAGAATTGTCAGTCATCCTTTGCCGAGATCCAGGACCTAAGAGCATTGGTGCAATAGGTGCCACTGAATCTGATCCACTTGCCTGGGAAACTTCATAACCAGGCATGTGATGCCTAGGGCCATGCAGGGAAGCAACAGATTGAGCCCCTAGACTTCTCTCAGTCAATTCAGCACCCACAATTGATTGTGGGTTCCAATCTTGATCTTCATCTTCAGCGTGATTATGTACACGTTCAGAAATAATCTTACCTTTTCCATATCCAGCAGTTGAATCTCCAGCAACAACTTTCTTTCCTCGTCTCTCTCTTGTTGATTTTGACACCTTACTTGCTGATCCATCCCAAGAACTCTCAGATGAGGTTCTACTTCTAACAGAATTACTATGAGCAGCAGAAGAAAACCTCGAACTTGCCGATCTCTCTTCAGAGTAAATTTCACTTCCTCTGTTCTCTTGAAACTGAGAGTTATCCGGATGATCTTCCAGCAGAGGTCCACGTTTTTCCTTGTTATGCTTCTGTTGTGCCATCATAGAACCTCCAGCACCACTTACCCAAGGAGAGGAAACAAAGTTAAAACCTGACAGAGTCGAGTGTTGCTTGTCATCTGACTGCAGCAACTCTAGATTAACATTGTCAGGCTCAAATCCAGCTGAGGAACCTATTTCCTGATCCTGCCAGAAATCATTTTCTGCCTCCCCAGAGTTCATCTCTATGGAACCAAAATTCTCACTGCTTCGGTCAATTGCCTCTTCTGAGTTTGTACTCAACCCCATTCCTGGAAAGTAATGTGTTAGCGGTGGAGAGACCAACCCATGTGGAAATTGCATGCTCGAGAAAGAGGGATCAATCAATGGAATATTAGCAGGAACCAATCCAGACATATTTCTCTGAGTATATCCCATTGAGGCTAGAAAGGACGGGGAAATTGGGAAAGGTAGCTGAGCTGAGGACAAATTAAATGGCAGGGGAACTTGACCATTAAAACCATGAAGTGAAGTAGATGCCATCATATTCACAAGATCTTGCTCCTCTTGATGCATCCCCTGGGTTCCAATATTGGAGGAAAGTTCTTCATTTGAAGTATCAAAACCAGAATCATGCACATAGCTATTTGAGCCACTCACTGAGTCAGCCGTAGCATCAAGACTGTGATAAGATGGGACATGCCTGACAGATGAGGACTCATCAGAAGATCGGCCACTATGGCTGGCCAAACTTTCAGATCCAGGGTTCTTCCTCCTGTTACTACCATCCAGCCTTGTGGAAGTAACATGCACTTTTGCACTCTCAGGTGCTCTATTCCGCCTCAGTTGAGAGGAAACATCACCATATGTCTCAGTCAGCTCAGGGCTAGAGGATGTTCTGGCCAACATAACTCTTCCGGGAATGTCATTTACCAACTGATCAGATTTGATATTTCTCTGACCTTTTTCAGAATGCTCAACCTGATTAGAAGTAGATTCTCTTGCATGATCAGCCACCCTTGAGCTGTTTAAATTTCCATGATTCTTTTGCCTTTGACTATATGAAGCAGAAGAGTTGTTCATTCTGGATATGCTTCCAGAAGAGTATTTACCATGTTGGGGAGCATTAAAATGAGTTTGGGTCTCCTCTATATCCACCTCATCAGCTGAAACTTTATCATTCATTTTCTTCACTCTTGTGTTACTCATAGTATTCTCAGGCTCAGATAGGTTAATTTCCAATTTCGGCCGCAATAAATCATTTACTGGAGCATCAGGCCGATGGCCACTGCCATGTCTGTCCCATGTATTCATGAAAAACTGATTGACTTCAAAAATTACGTTTTCTTTGGGACATTCAAGTAATCTAGCCAATCTTTTAGCACCAAATGCAAACGCACTGCGAATTCGAAAGAAATTACCTTGGAAAAAAAAGTTAAAGAAATCAGAGAAAAGATTGAATGAGAGAATAACCAGAATCAACTACCAAAATATAATTATTTGCTAATTTTAGATAAGAACATTTCCTAAAGAAGTAATTTTTACATTTCAGATCTACAAGAATAAACATTTTAACCATATCAAACAAAATAAAAAGTTTATTGTCGTATCAAGAGAAACAATTATTTTTCACCAGCATAAATCACTTAAGGAAAAGAGTTCAACGATGCCATAGAGCTAACCAATCAATAATAGTCTATGCTTGTAAGAGACGAAACTGAAGGAAGGAACATATGAGTGTAATATTAATCCTTCAATTATCATGAAGAGACAGAAGTTATTATCTATTTTTTTTCCCCTACGAAAAGGCCTCAAAGTTCATTTCTGGTGTCCAAAGATTAATCAAACTAGATTTAGTAGCTTTTTAATCCATGGCAAATTATTCCTCATGGTCCATGAAGGAGAGAACAAAAAAAAAAAACTTCCAACCCCATTCTCATGCTACAACGCAGGGAAGGACCCAAGACCTGCTACATGGCCTTAAGCTTATAATTTTACTAAGGAAGAATAAAAAAGATAGACTTTGAAAGTTCCAGTTACCCAATAGATAAGAGAACAGGCAAGCAATTTGTAGAGGACTGAGATGTTTAAAGCAAATGGTTTTCAATTGTCAACACAAAGATGGACTGCTTGTACAGAAGCATAGTCATTGGCTAAAAATTCTGCATCCAGATGCCTAAAACCCAAGCCTACTGCACTTGTAAGATATTCCATAACAAACTCATTAAAACTAACCACCACCAACCACCCCCCCCCCCCAAACCACAACACACAAAAAAAAAAAAAAAGCACACACACAAGGGCAAAAAAACCTACATTGCTTAGACAAGCTAGTTATTCTTATTTAAAAAATTCAAGTTTTCTCAACAGGCAATATCATTCTAGTTCATTTTAATTTGAAATGCAAAAGGCAAAACAAAAAACTCTCTGCGTAAAGGACCTTGAAAGTATTATCTAACACTGCTTTAGCATTTTAAAACTTCCACGAAGAAAATAACCTTTCAACTAACTGAAAAGATTTTTCAGATATTCACCTTTTCCAAACAGCTTTAAGAGACTAAAGTAAGTATAAGGCCGAGGAGAAATATTTATAATCTAAGAGGTGATTGGTCCAGCATGCAAGAACAGCTTATCTAAATCAAATCCACACAAAAAACTAATTGCTGAAGGTATCAAGCCAATCACACTAGAGGGCTAGCTGCTTACTGTAACCTACTTAACCATCATCCTTACACGAGAAAAATACAGAAGCAAATTTTTTTGGGGTGGTACAATAAGTTAATGGATATTAAGAGCCTAAAGACAGATAATGAACCAAATATTTACCATGATGAGAGAGAGAGAGAGAGAGAGAGAGAGTTTGGATGAAGGAAAACTTATTTAAGACCATCAAAGATAAGAACCTTACGACATTACTGGAATAAAATCTGAAAATTGTACTGCTCATTAACTGAATGAGATTTTGTATGCTTTGAGTAGGATATCAAACACATACACACACACACACACCTATATATATATATATAAAAGGTACCTGTCACCAGGGCAAAAACGTGATAAACAAAACAAAAACTAATTAAGAAGTTCAGTCATAGATAGCAACATTAAGGGAAAAAATAGTGCTCAGGTACCTTTACTAACACTACGTCCAAGATTATTGTTTACACGTAAAGGATCTATCACATTGAAATGTTTAGAGACGAAAGGCTGGCCATGGTTTTCCTGCCCACCAGGAAAAACAGCATATACAGAGCTACATGCATCAAGAAACAATTTGCTGAGTAGCAATTCACCACTGTCCTTTCGAGGTGGTTCAGCTGCAACACATTTCCATGAGAAGAATTGGAATTAGCAATTAGACAAGATTGTCGATAAGCCAGTTAACAAGAAGAAATTGATCCATTTATACCAGTTACATCAGGAAGGGAGTTAATCAGTACAGGTCCCCACAAGCTAACACAGAAGTTGTCCCAATCAAAGTTACTAAAGAACTCCAGAAAACGATAAAGGACCTGAAAGATTAAATAAATAGCTTGAGTGGGAAGACAAGAGAGGCTAAATTCCACAGAAATGTATTACCGGATAGCAACCTCAAGTGGTCCAGTAAAGGAATTGTTAAAAACGTGAAATATGTAAAGCACCAAGGTCTCCAGGGCATAAGTTGAGATAAGTCCATGATGAGCACCAAGTATACGACTCTCATAGTAACACCAAGCCTTGATCAATATGATGCTGCGCTTAAACAAGTGATTCTGATTTATCAGATGATCAACCTGCCAAAAAAAAAAACCATCATCAAGTATTTTCTTCCTCAACAAACATAAATATCACATGATCAAAGTCTCGCAACAATGGCACCATAAATATTCTAATTCAAACATGCCACTAGGAACACCATAGGCAAATCCAGACCTCCTCAAGGAAGCAAAGCGTACATAGTCCACCAAGCTGATTAAAAGATATGTCCACAACAATGTTCTCCACAAGGCACTTTATTATTTTAACCTGCAACCCCATGGGAGAAAAAAGACGATATAAAAAATAAAGTTACAGGAAGAAGATAAATAACACAACAACTATCCAATTTAGAATAATACACTGAATGCTAAGTGATCACAACGAAATTCAAATCAACCCCCTGAACAACCCACAAGTGCCCATGAGATTATTGATTTGTAAAGATTAGGGCCAAAAAAAATTTTTTTTTTCAGAATCCATTTTAAGAAAAGTACAAAGGCTGCACAGGTAAAAGCCAAGTCTTATAGTCAGGACTTCAGTCTTAGAAAAGAGGAAGCACCTATAGTATCAAGATGGCAAGCAAGAATGTACTGATTACGAACTTCAAATTCTGTGAAAAGGTGACAAATAAACATTAAGGAAAGAAGAAGGGAATTATAAGAGACTCCTATAACAAAGTAAGGGGTTTCAGGGGGGTCCTGAGAGGTGGCAAACTGCAGCCTTCTTCCGCTAGAAGAAAGCAGAATCACAGAGTAGGGCAGCCAACCTTACACTTCAGCCACAAGCCATAACAAAGCTTACCTTCTCTGATTGTAGGAAGCATTAATGTTAACTATTTCTCTCAGAAGGAGAACAATATCAGGCAAGTTGATTCTACTACATGTGAAAGTGATGGTAAAAAAAAACCAGGCAGCAACATATCAAAATGCTAAAGGACATCTATAACATCTTACAGAAGCAGAATGCCTGATATTCTCAAGACTAAGCAACAGATATATAGCAAAATTCAAGGGGCGCAAAATTTAAAACTGATAAACTACAATGCACATAACACATACTTCAGCCTGAATATACTGAACCTCCTTCACATGAAATTCAGCGTGCTCATTCTTCTCCTCATTCTCTAGCATATCGCGCACCTGATTGGCCCATGAGTCTTTCAGACTTTGATTATTACTAAAAGCAGTTAAATCGATGTCTCCATCCGGTAGATAAGTCTTCAAGGGTACAGAGCCAAAAGTAAAAACCTATATATGGGCAAAATGCATAAGATAGTATATCAAAAAATGATCAAACATAATTGACAAGAAGTCCAAAAAGATAACTGACAGTAAAAGAGAAGTGCACATATATCCATCCATAAAACCGGATAAAAGAAATTCCTCTCATCCATTTTTTGGATACAGGTTTTATGGGAAGAGCAATTGAGTTTGTCAGTATAAGTACATCCAAGCACAGCAATTCCACATGGTCATTCAACACAAATATCAGAAGGAAAAGTTTCTTTCACTTTTCAAGCAACATAATTGGAAATTCTTTTACTTAAAATATAAAATTCCACGAGTGGCGCTATATTTTGGGGCTCCAAAATGGGATCAGAAAGAAGGTCACCAACTGTTGCCTATTAGCAAATTTTTCTACAGATTCAGCAGCACAAAAAGACATGTCATTGTTTTCACCATGTCTACAGCACTCCACCTTCTCATTGTGGGTAAACTTGTGCGGAAGTGATCTTCAACTGCACGCATTTACTTATTCACGTTGGATGATTGTTTGCAACTATAACCATAAAATGCTAGTAGCCTTATCTTGGAAAACTTTTCAATGTTAAATTCCATTCTTATTTTGCAGAATGGGATAGACAACTCAGCCATGAAAGCTTAAGAAACCATTCTAGAGCAGCCATGAAAGCTTAAGAAACCATTCTAGAGCATGATGTTTGTTTCGTCCAAGGAAAAGAAAAACCTCCATCTTTACAACTTAAAAAAATTGACAAGGAATGTACAATCCTTGATATCTGGATGATTGTTTCACAAAAATGGAGTAGAAATCAGGCACCACTTCACAATCACTTGGAAATCTAAAGAAGTACTAGTTACTTAATTTTCTTGTTCATTCAAGTGACAAGTACCTTAGAGCTTGATAGACTACGAGCTTTCCAAATGAGAAGTAATTAGCTTAAAGTTCTAGAAAATCATCAAGAGAAACTAAGAGAACACATCTGAAACTACAGGTTCATCATTCTGTTCGAGATCATGCATGGTGGAAGACACTAAAAGCGTGGTCCTCTAATAATACATGCATGAAGCACATATACAAAACCATAAATATTTCCTTCTACCATTCCTATATTAATGCCATTTCCTAACAGTGCGCAGAAAAGCAGTAACATAGCAGCTAACAGCACGTAATGGTAAGAAAACACAAAACAAATTTTCTTAAGTAATAGTACCGCAAACAACTAAATATTAAACCGGGAATCAACAACCTGACACGGGAAGCACTTCACGATGAGCCGCTGCACATAATCTGCAACAGCATTTCTGCGCTCCTCGGATGGCTGGTTTGGCTGAATGCAGGTAATAAGCTCTGCAGTTCTTTCCTCTGCCCTTAACCATCTCTCTGAGTCCAGGAGGCGAGCCACCGGTTCTGCATTGGGCAATAGCCCGTTCGGCAATAGCCCACTAGGCTCTGGCCATTCCTCATGTTCTCCCATACACTATAACTTTTGTTAAATACCACAAAAAAAATTCAATCTTTAAAATCTTTTTGATCAAACCCCAACTCAAGTTTTCAACTTTCCTTTCCAGACACCCCGCAGAAAAGGAACCCCACTTTCGTATCTCAAGTCAAGATAACCAGAAAAGAAGTTTCACTCGCCAGCCGTATATTCGTCCAGTAAATATCCTGAGGCAACTATAGAATGGATAAAAACCCTAAAAAACACTGAAGCAGTGAACTTTATAGATGGAACAACGACGTTAAAAACTTAAATTCAACAATCAGATGTCCATGACATGGAAAAATCACCAGAAACCTGTATTTCTCAATAGGATATCTGTAATTTGCCCGGAAGGAACAAAAAGACCGAAACAGAGAGGCAATCCTAATACCTAAGAGGAGGAACTGATCAGAAAAATCAAAAATTAAATACAAAACACTGAAACATAAAGCCTTTCAAGAAGCTGTCGCGGGCAAGAAATAAATCAGAGCAATGGTGCCGGAATCTGAGAGAACCCCCAACACAAAGAAAAAAACAAAACACCAAAAGAAAGAAAACAAAAAAAAAGGGGCAAAAAGAGAAAAAGGCCCAATTCTTTTCCTAGCTTTTTTGGTTCCTTTTGCTGAATAATCAAGATAGACGGGAATAAGGATTGACTAATAAAATGAGTGAAGAGGGAGTAAAGGGATCGTGAATTTCTAGAAAAATAAGAGAAGAGAGAAGGCAAGGCAAGGGGGAAAATTTGGGCAGTGGCTTCTATTTTGGGAGTGTTTGTGAATTGGGAGGCAGTGATTTTTAAGGGAAATCGGAATCCAGGGCGGGGAAATAATTACTAGACTGTATTAGATTAGAGAATAGTAAAATCCATCAGAAAATAAAAAAGAAAAAGGAAAACGAGAAGGAGAAATTAGTTTGACGTTGTTTCGGAAGAAGATTATACTGCTCTACTCTCTACTAGGACTTGGGGAGTTGGGAAGAAGACAAGTTTTTGAAGTTATTCTGCAATTGTTTGTTTTGTATCAAAAAAGGAGGGGGGGGGGGGAATACAATAATTCAATTTTGCCTTTTTGTTTTCCTCGCGTGGGAATGCTTAGATAGAGAGATTAAGGCATGGGGCATTTTACAGATTTTCTGTGGAAAAAATTAAATTGCCATTTTTCGTAGAAAACTTAAGAATAAGAATAAGCAAAAGATACTACTACTAATTGCTTTTTCAATGCTTCGGCAAATTTAATAGAAATGATGATGACGATGATGAGATGAAGAGGGGATCTGGAAAAGAAAGGAGGGGATTGGAGGGTTGGGGTGGGGCCGGTGGGGGCAGAAGAAAAGCAAGAAAAAAAATTTTTTTTTTCAAGTAAAATAGCGATGCCTTTGTTGAGCTGGTTTTATTATTGTCTTATTGGGGGTTGTTGTTGTTCCAGGATTTTATATATATACGGACCTAAGGGGGACGGACCTAAACTGTGTAAAATATCTCTATCCAGGATAGGAGGCAAGGGTAGGCACTTAGATGGTGGCTCACGCGCGATAGTCACTTGGCCCAAAAGACATTTTAAAAAGTTTAGTGTTAGTTGTGTCTAGAGCCCTAAGGTGGTCGTTGTTTTGGGCCTTTGGGCCTCATTCTGAAACCCCCGCCAGAATCATGCCCACCTGGCTCCAAGTGGAAGTAGGTTCGACAAAATGTAGTGATCTTTTCTTTTATTGACGCCACTCCAATTTCCAAAATTCTGAAACGTTTCTTGCGTATATTAAAAAGTGCACTAGTATTATCGTTATGTTTCAAAAATTTCTACAAGGTTTGTTTGGATTATGATTTATTTTCAAAAATTTATTTGTTTGCATCATTAATACATTTTTAATCACTTTTTTTATTTCACACACATCACATTAAAAAAAATGCTACGGTATTTTTTTTCAAAAAATTATCCCAAATAATCTACTATCCAAACAAAAATTTTCTTTAAAGTAGACACTACAATCTTATTTGGAGTTTATTTGATGTGGAACTAATAGACTCCTCGGTTTTATTTGGAGCATTTACTATTGGATTTATCAAGTAATTAATCCTTACCAAGATAAAGTTCATCGTCCCAAAACATTTTGAAAAGTAAAAATCAATCAAATCTATATTTATATAAATTTGAGAATGGGTTTTTAGTATGGTTAAGTCAAAATGTTTCTAACACTTCATTCTTTTTTTTTTTTATAGAAATTTATTTTTTTTTAAAATTATTATATATCCTTTCATGTCTTTTGAATTCAAAAAGTAAGAAGCGGCTCCACTCATAGAGGAATTTTGTTTGAAATATATTAATATGAAGGTTTTTTTTATTAATATGAGGTTAAATAGAAAGGAAACATCACCACACCTATTAAATGCAAAAAAGTAAATAATAAATATTTTACCCTTCAACTAAGTAATTTTAACTAAGAGGGCAAATTATATAGAAAATAAAAAAATAATATTCATTGGTCGTGAATTTAAAAATATCAAGAATGATACTATTCATGAAATCTAAATTATGAAATCACTAACTAAAAAATAAAGTACTTCTGGCCTTTAGATATATGAAAATTTTTATTTAAAATCTTTATTTTTAACAAAAAATAATAATAAAAACAACCCCAATTCTACTCAAATCTTCTTGACAACACGGGTTGTACTAATGTCAAGCCCGAAGGCGCGATATGCTGAACAAATTGGAAGTCACGCTTCTTCGCCATCTCCCCAGCAACGGAAACTGCAATTTTGAACTTTCTCAAAGCTTAATAACCATCGCCAGTCCACCGGCTCTCCTCCCGCGTCAATTCACTTCCAGCTCCTCTTCTCTTTCCCTACAACCCCGAAGAACCAGGCTCCGCTGCCATGCCATCGTCGCCAGCGCACGTCATCATCGCCGACTGAGTCCACATAAATTCCCGCCTGCCCGGAATTGGTCACTTGGTTCGGGTCAAGTGTTCAATGGCAGACTCTGTCGGACCTCAACAACAGCAATGTTCGATATTTGTTCTTCTTTTGCGATTTCTTTTGCCCATTTAGACCTTAGCTATTAAGTCTGTTGCTAATTTCTATTTCATTGTGATGTATTCTTTCACCTGCTTTCTTGGTTTTCCCTGATTTCTAGGGTTTGGCTTATATGGAGTAATATAATTATAGAAGGTGTGTAAAAGTGACTCCCAAGTGCTGGAATTGATACTCTTTCTCCAGAGCACGTTTGCAGTTTTGCATCTATGCGTAGTGATAGCCTAAAGACTGCATTTTTGCACCTTGTTTGGAGAGCTGGAAAGTGGAACGTATATTATTTTCACTTTTTGTTTAATAATTTTGAAAAGTGCGAGCGCCCGAATTCTCAAATTTTTAGCAATAAGTCATTGTTGTTGACTTCTGCTGTTGCTGACATATTCCTTTGATTCATGATCATGGTAAATATTCTAGTTGTGTGAATTCTGCTTGAAAGCTGGAAATCCGAATATAATCTAGTACTGTTAAGGATCCTTTTTCGTTATCTTTTGAAACAAGTCTTCGAGACTCATCATCTCCCTTATCAACTCTTCCTTCCAGTGCTTCCTTTACGTAAACAGAAATTCATGAAAGAAAGTTCTTTCTGAAAGCCAAATGCTGATAGGTTATTAGTCAGTTGTAATAAGGTCTAGTAAAAGGACTTTTGTATGGAAATGATCCCTCGTCATCCAGGTATCAGGAGTGTATATCATGTAGTATGTGTTTTGTGGTGGTGCTGCTTTTTGTATTTTGTTTTTTCCAAGATTTTCTGTTACTAGCTTGTGTAGTTGTATACTTCTACTATTAATTTTTTACCTTGACATAAAATCATTGACTCATTTATGTGTTTGCAGTTTGTATTTTCTTCAAAAAGCCATCTAAGGGCAAAAACATCAGAAAGTGCCCTGCTTTTCAAGAAGATAATGGCGATGATGATTCAGTGGGCGAGAGCTCTGTAATTTATAAGAAGAAGCCAGCAGCAGCTAACAACAAGTTACACTTCTCTATTGGATCCTCAAAGCGTTCCATTGAGATAGAAACTATTGTAGACTCAAGAACCCCATTTTTTTTGCTTTGAATCTTCTAAAGAAATTCAGGTTCATCATGATGGTAGAGTAACAGCAACATTAGAAACTGAGACTGGGTTCTCAAGAGATGCTCAGGCAATCAGGGAGAGAGTTCTCAAGCAAGCAGAGGAGGGATTGAAAGGAAAAGGCACATCAACTAATGATGAAAAACTGTACAAAGGGATACATGGAGACACTGATTACAAGTCTGGGTTTCGCGAGAACATATGTTCTCCGGTGAGGAAGCTGGTGGCGCACATGGACCCCTTAGAGCATCTGCCCACATTAGAGTATCAGCAAGGTTTGACCATCAACCAGATATCTGCAAGGATTATAAATCTGGATGGCAGCTAGAGAAGAAGTGGGATGAAGCGGAGAGGGTTAGGAAATGGAATTTGGCTTTGGGAATTGATGATGAGGATGAGTGGACCGCTGAGAAGAGTGATGAGGATGAAGATGATTCCTTGCCTTTTGCTTGTTTCATTTGTAGGTAACCTTTTGTGGATCCTGTTGTGACCAAGTGCAAGCACTGCTTTTGTGAGCATTGTGCACTAAAAGTATTAGTTATTCATCTATGTCTTTCTTCTGTTCCAAATTGCTTTCATTTGCTTTTTGTTAAAAAAAATATGTAAACCCTAGATGCTTGGTTTGACAGAGTTAAATGATTATCTTGTAACGAATACTGCATGTAAACAGCTAGTTCTATGACTTTTAAATATGTTGTTGACCACAATTTTTTGGCTTTGCAGCATCATGCTAGAAACAAGAAGTGTTTCATGTGCAGTCAGCCAACCCTGGGGCTATTCAACACTGCATTTGAGATATGCAGAAAAAGTCAGCTGAAGGGAAATGATGTGACCAAGCCATTTGCCTTGTACATCATGCTTTTATAATAATATGTTCCATGCTTGTATTTTGTTGGATAGCAGACATCACCAATTTACACATGTTTTCTGATACAGTTATTGCTTCTAATAAATGCTGTTTCACAAACCTCTACAATATTCTTGCTGAATAAATGCTCTTGTACAATGATCTCCATTCACTTCCATGTGCATGTGATGCTAATGTAAACTTATACCCCATTACGACGAAATACCCAATTTTTTGCAATATTGAGCTTTTGCAAGAAGTCATGCTTTGAGAAACTGCAAACATCAGTTTTGATGATATTGGAATTTATGCACCATGACAACAAGATGATGATATTGGAATTTATGCATTATGATAACAAGGTTTAGGAAATTTCCTTATCGTTATTGGCGTGAATGTCTTGTTTGCTTTATATCTTTGGGTTCTTACTGGGTTTATGTTCAAGTCTATAAGTTTTGAGCCTCAATAATGAATTTGTGTACCAAAATCAAGTTTTTATTCTTTGCCTTCAGGAGTGTATGAACATAACAGCCATAAAGATTCGCCATCTTGTTTACTTTCCTTGAATCTGCCAAGCCATTGCTGTAGTCCTAAAGTGGTGCTATCTCAGGTAGTTAGTTATCTATAAGCCATTCTTTGGGCCTCGTATTGGCTTTGCCATTTGGTAAATTCTTTTCATTGGCAAGTTTTCAAAGCTTTTGGATTTGTATTTCCTGAAGTATGTTTCTGTCTTTTTGGTCATAAGTAGATTGAGAATTGTGGTCCTAGGTGTCCTGCTGATTTGTAAGGTCATAAACTTTTTCCAGTTTAAAAAATGTTGTCATGGTCTCATATAATTTGAGGCATTTTATTAGATTGCCTGTGAGTTAAGGATTTGTTCTTGTTATTATATAAATTGCCTTAATGCCATTACACGCAGTCCATTTGTAATACTGGACTGAAATATGATTTTGGTCTTGGTAACTTATAAATGGCCTTAATGCCATCACATGCAGTCTATTTGTAATATTGGACTGAAAAGGATTTTTCCAACTAACTAGAAGTAACATCTTTTTCTACCTATATTGACATCATTAATGATGCTAGTTACTATAACAATTTGTGCTCTTAATAACAGCCCCTTTTGTGTGCAAAAATAGTTTGTTTAGAAGAACTTAGACACCGGTAGTTGGTTCCTTTGTTGCCAACCTTTCTTCCGAAGTGCAATCATTGCTCCATGTATGGGGAGATTTTGAAGCTAAGAGTTGCCGGAGTAGGTTTCTCTGCTTTCTTGCTTTCCTAATATCCTGCCTTGTGTGTTGCCTGATAACCTTATTCACTGCCTTAAGATAGTTACGGGAGTCATGGTCCCTCAGAATTGTACCTTCAGAACCATAAGCTGTAGGATCACTGAGAGTTTCCAATGGGTGTGGGGTATTTAGAAAGGCCCTGAGAGCACTTGCTACATTAGCAGACTGAGTATTTTTTAATGCATATAGAGCATTGCCTGGAGGGAGCAATGGATGTGGAGGGGATGACATCTCATCTGGTTGGAGAATAAATATTGTACCCATGGGAGAGTATAACAGCTTCTGTACCCAAAAAGAGAAAAAATTTGTTGGTACAGGGGGATAGCATAGTTATAGAAAAGAGTTGGCATTGGAGATCTTAGACATGTTAATGATAGGCTATTATACTTCCATTACCTGTTTCTTTAGGCATATTAACTGAATTGCCTTTTGTAATTCTTTATCTTGAGAGGGAGCCATGAGCATACTTACATTTTTATTTAGACAAGGATGTGAGCGGAAGGTGCTATTCAAGCGCTTTAGGACTTGCGCCACATGGTTTGGATAAACACAGGAGAATGCTCTTGGAACAATATCTCTATGCATGATCACACAATGAACGTGATCTTCATCCAAACCCAGTTTGTGAAGGACCTTCTGGCCACCACAGAACACAAAAGGTGATCCAAAAGTGACAACTGGTAGAAGAGATAAGGGTTTAACAACTTCCCTTGTCAGTAGCATCAAATGGACTAGAAGGGAAAGACTACCACCAAGGGAATGGCCGGTAAATTGAAGCTTTGCTCGATCACCAAATCTTTCCAGGTGCTGAGTAATTTCTGGCATGAATTGCTCATATATTCCCTTCGCAGCTTCATAAATTCCTCTGTGAACCAACACATCTGTTCCCTGCAGTATGCAGTTATCAATTTAAGTACTTGCTTAGCTACAATATAGCCACTTCTTTAGAAATTAGATCTGGATAGGTTTTGTATGTGTACCTCAAAATTAGTTGGTTCAAAGAAGAGATTTGCCTGCCATGACGCCAAGGAGTCTGACCCCTGCAGCTTGCAAGTAAGAGGTTTGTAAAGCTATATGGCATCCTACCTAACCAAGCTTTTGAAGCTATTCGGTTTCCTCTTATGTCAGATAATTAACTCTTTCAGTAACATAATATTGTCCCTGGATAAATCATCATTTTATTCTTTTTTTTTTCCCTCCAACTGTCAGTTGAGGACCTTGAGGTTAATCTAGTGTGTGAGGATGTAATCTTGGATTACTTGAATTGTTACCTGAATGACAAAGCAGCGTGTATAGATGCTCGAGTCATCACAAACAAACCATTCACAAGGTGAGGAATGAAGTGATTGAAGGTCCCTTGCTGCCTCCTGTTTTTGCTTCTCATCAGCTGCAACCACTGCTGTCATTGATGATGCCGCAACGTAAGCAGCCATCTCCGATTTGTGTATTCCTGGAGGAGTTCCCACTTCTTCCTCTATCTGGTGTTTTCCTTTGGCATGCAGAACTGCATCAGAGATCTCCATCTGGGGTTCAGAACCAATGGATAAAAGGTCTTTGGCACGGGATTGGACGTAAGATGCTGCAGAAGCTGCAATGTCATATGCAACTGATGGGTGAGGGAGATGGTTCTGCCTAGAATTCTGCCTTTTCTCTGTTCCTGATTCTGTAGTTGCTGATGTTTCCAGGGGTACACTAGTTGAATCCTGGTCAAGTTTCATTTTTAGGGCCGCTGCTTCTGCCTTCTTTGTTAAGGAAGAAGTTACAAAGTCTAGGCCATAGCATCTCCTTTGATCGTTGGCCTGCAAATAAATTAAAAAACCGTTGCTTGGTTGGCGTTTTAGTTACGACGCCAATTGATTTGAAATAATATTTATTATGTTGGTCTGCAGATGAACGCAGTAATTGTAAAACCTCATATGGCGGACAGATTGGAGGTGAATTTTGATTCCTATTCAAGTTTTGACAATACAAAGATTGCATCCAATTTAAAAAGAAGCTTCGTGGTTATATCAACCCATGTTTTCTTACCACTGAGAAGTATAAAACCAGTTGATGAACGTACCTTAATCTCTGGGATCACATAGGCCAAGTTGCTCAGAGAAGCCAATTTAGCGAAGAGCTCGGTGTCTGACCAAGAAACATGGCTCATCAACCTCCGGAAGGATTCTGCTTCCACCTTGTCTTCAGCTGCATCATCATCGTATTCCACTTCACAAAAATCCTCAGCTCCATTTCCATCACAATCTTCACTGGCTTCCTGTATGCTGCATTCTTCATCCTTGAGCTGCTTCTGCCTCCATTGCCTCTGAAGTTCAATTATCCTTTCAACCCAGTTGGCTCTCCTCAACTCCTCCCCAACCTTGACCTTATTGCATTCTCGGTCTCTTCCCACCATGTTCTCTTCCACATTTACCGCTTTCTTAGTTAACGGATCAAACAAGAATGATCGAAGAGAACTAGGAATGAGAGAACTCGAAAGCTGGAAATTGAATATGTCCACAGTGAGAGCACTGTCCTTGCGCTTGGGCTCTGTTGTTGATGCCCGCACACGATTGATAGAGCAAGGAAGCTGGTTACAGGAGCATGACCTCCGTAATGTGCTGCTAGCATACGAATGTCTGCTCGAGCTGTGTTGCTGATACGAGCGGAAAAGGCTGCATCTGTTTCTGGTTGAAGTAACCGGGGTGATAGTTATAAACAGCCAAGAGCCAGCCATAACCTCAATCCCACCCTTCCGCGGCCTTGAGAACCTAGGAAATCAGGAAACAGCCAGCACATTTTTCTTAGCCTTAAGCATTTTGATTGCATATGAACTTTGGTTTTCTCGGATCGTTTCTTGGAAACCGAAGAACGTGAAGCAAGGAAACCTTTTAAAGGGGGAATAATCGACAAAACACACCTTGTTCCCAACGAGACATTCAATATGAGATGCCATTTTATAACCGCAATACGGCTTGAAAAGTTTCAAAATAACCTGAATACCAACCAAATATGTCCATCTGTGTCTGGTTATCATCGTTTAAGGAGACGTCTAGGAACTTTAAACCCAAAATTTACTGCTCTACCAAGGTGGAACACCGTCACTAGGCTGAAGCCCTGAGCAATACTTGAATACATACTCCACCTTGTGGGCTATTCAAGTTTTTGCGTGTCATATTTTGCGGTAAAAGTCCGGTACATTTCTAGCGTTGTCTTTTGTTGTCTTCAAATACTTGAAGCACATTCCTGGACATTGTTTTCCTTTTTCCTTACCATGAAAATGGACAATGACAAACTATTCTTGGAGACATTCAAAAAATCAGAAGACGCTTTTTGTTTGGCTGTTTAGTTTAATGGAGGAGCTCACCTTCACCGTTCTAAACTAGGATGCCGTCGTCAAGACGACCTGAAATGAAAAAGAATTCAAGAGGCCTCAATAGATTAATAGCAAGACAAATATCAAAGTCGAAGTGTGCCTTTCGGATCAAACTCCATGAAAACTTTACTCCATTATTCTTGGACTAGGATATCTAAAAGGAGAAAATTAACAAAGAGAAATGTAAGTTCTATTTCCGGTTGATGCTTCCTTTTCTTTCTCGTCTTTCTTTCTCAGACACATTTTAGTATAACGGCGACAACAAGCATATCTGATTGGAGGTCCAAAACCTGTTTAAGTTTTTTGTTGCTTTCAAGCAAGTTAGGAAACCAGTTTTCCAGCAACAACTTCCGTATCTTCTTAATTCCTTGGAATTTCAGTTTTTTTTTTCTCCGGTTCATAAATTCCTTGACGTGAGAAGTACTTGATCCAATGTGTGCGGAAAAATATTATGGTAATATTCTGCACCTTGACATAGCTTCCGCCTCTGCCTATGTCCTTCCCACTCCTCAACTACTAAATCTATGTCATGTTCTATTATGGTATACAATTTTTTTGTCGGAACACAACACGGCCACGACAAATCACTTCTGTTATTGGCATGGGGTGATCAATTGATAATTACGACATAATCCAGAAAAAAAAAAAACACGCATACACATTGATGAAATCTATGTCATGTTCCTATATTTTCGAAAACCTATATAGAGCATTGGGTAGGTAGGGATGACAGCAGATTGATTGAGTACCTTTAAGAATCTCTCTTATCAAACTCTAATCGGCATATTTAAGATTTCTATCAAATTATGGGCCAAGTAATCATACAGATTTTAATTTTCATTATCAAACCCTCTTGCTCTCAAGCTATAATTATTTATCAGGTATCTTCTACTCACTAATTTAAATAATTCCAAAAAAAAAAAGATAATTAACTATTATCAAACTAAAATTAATACATACATAATGTTAAATTAACATATTATGTTAAATTTTAAACTTCAGTAGAGTTACATGAGAGGAATTTAGTATTTTATAAAAGGTAAAATGCATGTGTTATACAGGTGCACACAGAAATGCAAGTAAATGTGTTCTACATGTGTTATAAAAGATATTTTTCAGTCAAATGTTATTGCTCTTTCACATAAATGCAAGTAAATCATAATTCAATTTTGGATTGGCTTATGATTATTGTTGGTTTTGATCAACCTGGATTTTGTGCACGCATTTATGTGTGTGTGTATATATATATATATATATTGTAGTATTGTTGCAGATTATTGGAGATGGATGGAGACCTTCAGACTTTTCTTTGTTAAAACCTGTTTATGCCAATTATACTATAAAACAACTTACTCTCTTCTAAGATGCTGAGTAGAGTGGGCCGAGTGATGTGATTAACTCTTAGAAGGCATTTATCATTTCTAAGTCTCTGAAATTTGGTTGGACTTTCGTATCCTTCGCTTCCAAAAGAAACAAAAAAAGAGTTTTATTTCTTCTTAACTTCAATTGCATTATCCTTCAAATGGGGAGGTCTGAACTAGGGATGTACGCGAGCTGAGTTACTTGCGAGTGACGGTTTGGCTTGAACTCGGTTTGATCGAGTTCGAGTCAAGTCTCGAGCTACTCGAATGTACTTTCGACTCAGTATTTTGGGGCTTGTGGCTTGTCGAGTCGGGATATATTTAAATAATATATATAATTTAAATAATATATATTATAATTATAAAATGACTGTTATGGGTATAATTTATACTGAATTTACAATATACTCTTCTTTATAATAAAATTCCATAATAGCAGAATTGTACATTTTCCGAGTCAAGTCAAAAAGCTTGATTAGACTCGACTTGATAAGGCTTGACTAAAGATCGAGCCTTATCGAGTCGAGTCTTGAGTTTAAAGGGATTTTCTCGAGTCAAGCCTCGAGTTACAACTTTTTAGGCTCGGTCGAGCTCGAGCTCGATTACATCCCTAGTCTGAACGCAGAGTCCCATACATACAATTTCTTTTTCCGGACCATCCAATCAAACCTTCCCAACAAGAGAAAGAAGGAAAAAGAGACAACGGCCAAATGTTGGGCTGCATGCAGTGCTGAACCAGAAATCAACACGTATTCCAAAACAGATGGCGGTTAAAGGGAGGGAATGGGCTTCAGCCTTAACTTCTTGTTGGCTGTTTCGGACCTATTCCCAGAATCCCAGCGCCCTTTTGGAAAGCGAATGAAACTGGAAAATGGTAGAGTGCATTAATCCTCTGCATGGCGGTTACTGGCATTATTCTTCCCTCTAACTGCTACAGTGTCAAAATGGTAAACGACAGTAGATAGTACTACTACTATGATGATACTTAGGGATGGCAACGGGGCGAGGTTGGGGCGGGGACCCCTCCCCTACCCCCGCCCCGTTGCCTATTAATTCCCCCCGACCCTCGCCCCGTCCCCTGCCTCCGCCCTGCCTCGCTTCCCCCGTGGGGGCACCCGTAGGGTTAATAAAATTGTCCTCGCGGGGTTAATAAAATTTTATTATAGTTAAATTTTAATAAATAATCAAGTATTAAAATATCAACACATCATTAAATTATTATTCATTGTAATTTTACAATTGAAACTCATAAAAACAATCAAACAAAAGTTATTTGAATACAATCCAACATGATGAAATAAATACAACTAAAATAGTCAAGTTTTCACTTTTGGTACAAATACAATCACTAATTCATTATTGTGTTTGTGCTTTTTTTTGAAAAAAAAGTGTTATTCTATTAAGTGTAATTAGAAATTTAGTATAAATGTATTAGTAAATTTAGTATAACTAATTAATAAATTCTATTAATAGACATGTCTAATTATTCATATAATTGATAATATCAATTATATTACATACACTAATATACATTATATAATACATCTAACTAATAATATCATTATCATAAGTTTATAACTAATTAAATTACATATTATATATATTTATTTATATATATATACTTTTTTTTTGCGGGTGGCGGGGCGGGGGTATACTCCCGCGCCCCCCGCCTCGTTTCTAAACGGGGGGAAAAAATTCCCCCCCGCCCCCGACCCACCCCCTGCCCCAACCCCCGCCCCGAGAGCCCTCCGCGGGCACCCGCCCCTATTGACATCCCTAATAATACTGTATATACACCAACCACGTATTGTGATGTGGAAGATCAAAAGTTCAAATCTTACATCTTATCAAAAGTTGCCATTTAATGTGATCTTTCTTATATTTATATGGGTGAGTAATATACCCGTATGGTCCGATAGTGGTTCAACTCCCCTCGATTCCCCGTGACCCTATTGGGTCATCCCCATAATTGGTTAGAGTAGAAGTAAGAGTAGTTATAGATGATGACAATTGATCAAAAAAAAATTCTCCATGCTTGAACTACTGCTGCTTGAGTTCAGTCCATTATTACCCTTGGATTGGGGCATGATTGGTAATTGCAACATATAAATGGGGAGGGGAAGGTTAGCAGACCTTAAAAGCTTGGTATGTTCGAATTTGAGATAAATTTCACTTTGGACCCTTAATCTACGCTACGGACGTATTTTCACTTTAATTTTAACTTTAATTTTGAATGCTTTATTTATTAAAGTATAAAATTTATCTCACTCTAGTTCTTAAAGTTTGAGAATCACTTATCTACTATTCCATTAATTTTGACAGTTTCTTGAGATGTATATCATACTTTAAGGATAAAATGTCTAAAATTGAAATTTAAAAACTAAAGTGGAAAGGCATCTATAGTTTAAAAGGTCCAAAGTGGATTTTAAGCCTTCGATTTGGTTAAACCATACTAAACTCCCCTTGTAATAATATTATTGTTCCGAGTTTCACTTTACGCCTTGCAATATTTTCATTAGCGCTCCCCCGTCTTTGACTGACTTGTGCTTTTTAAACATTTGAGCCCGTGAACGGATTTAAACTCGTTCTTGCGAATATACTTTTTGCTTTTCTTTTCCTCTTTATTTTTGTTTGTATGAAACAAAACGATCCTAATATTTGGACACTTCTGCTCTTTTATAATTGATTTTGCAGCTTGTGCTTAATTTTAGTTAATTTCAAGGCTATACTTTGACATCAAGTGCAAAAAAAAAAAAAGGCTGATTTCTGAGCTATCGGTAAGTTGTGTGAGTGGGCCAAAGGCGTTATTGACAATTGCATCATATAATATAGATACTTTAAAATAACAAATGGAGACAGTAACCTAATGTTTGGATGCAAATTTCAAAAAGTGAAAAAATTTGTTGTATTCTTACACGTTATTGTGTTAATATCTACCATTATTATTCAACGTCTATATTTATTCTGCTAGTATCTTGGTCGAATGGTACAATTACCATTGACAATTATAGGTGTAAGTAGCTGTTGACGTCTTTGCTAAATCTACTGTTCATTTGGGCTTTAACGAGTCAAGTACAATTCCAATTAGGGGGAATCAAAAAAAGTCCCCATAATATTATTTTTTTGACACTCAATCCCTTGACTGGTAGTTAAAGCATTCAACTGTGTTGATAGTTAAGAGGTAAACGACAATAGTATCCCTGGTAAATGGATAGACAAAATTGCCTATGAGTTCGGATCGGGTAATATTTTTTCCAACAATACTTTTATTGGAGGAAAAAGCCCGCTCTTACTAATCTA